GGGGGGGGGGGGGGCTTGGGTTATTCTGCTCACTGCTGTGTCCCCAACACTTAGTACCTGGTACACAGTTAGGCAGAGTCCATATTTGACAAATGAATGAATTGAAGGAATGCCATAAGACAGGGTGGGGATGCCAGCTACGTGTTTCACACGGACTGTGAGAAATGTTCCTCACAGCCCTCTGACATCAGTGGCGTCTTCATTTTACAGATGCGGAAAGGGGCATTTGCAGAGTATTTCACGTGTCCAAAGGCCAGTAAGTAGTAGAACTAGAACTGAGTTCCAGTCTGACTACATTATTTACCACCTCCTGGAAAGACTACAGGCCAGCACAGCCACCACCACTGGCCCACAGAACGACAGAGCAAGACCAAAAGGGGAATGAGCCATACAGGCCATCAATGAGGAACCGACAAGCAGAAGCTCGATAACCTCCCAAACGACAATCCTGCACTGCCCTAGAACCTGCTGGTGGTCTACATGCCTGCTTTAGGAGCAGAAAGACCCAGATGGGAGGGTAAACAGTGTGCTGGATATGAGCACAAACCTGGGGTGGAGGGGTGTCCAACAGACTCAGGCTGGAACCAGCTGTGGCTTTGCACAAGCCACACAACTTCAGCCAATCCTTCTTTGGCAGTAAAACCGAGATAATGACATCAGCTCAGCATAGTGCAAATGAAGCACTCAGTAAGTGATCGTTCTTCGATTCTCTCTCTTACGATGATTACAGTTAGAATCACGACTCTGCCACCCATTAGCTGTGTGACCTTGGGCAAGTCATTTGCCATCCTTGGGCATCACTCTTCTGATCTGTAAACAGGGTTCATCATCCCCACCATGTAGAGTAGACCAGATAAGGGTCTGGCACTCACTGGGCATCTGGCCTCTGACCCTTTATTTCCCCCAATCAAGTGGGTGCCATTTCAAGGCCCTCACCATTCCCACTGAACGTTCTCCTACATGCCTTCCCAAGGGAGGAACCACACCTCCCAAGAGTTGGGACAAGGTCACTGAAGCTTCCCTTGAGGAATGGGCCTCAGTGTCCTGGGGCGGGGGCGGGGAGGGGGCCTGCCTGCCTCCTGATGACCGAGGGAGAGAGGGCTGTGGCAGGCGCACCTTGTCCTGAAGGAAAAGCAGCACGTTACGGGGGCCCAGCTCCAGGGCGGGGTCTAAGTAGGTAGAGAGCTGCATGTCGCTGGTGATATGGCCCTCGTGGGTGTCGGCCGCAGGAGCCCAGAGGTCTCTGGCAGGGGATAGAAGACGTGCTGTCAAGCGGAGGCTCATGGCTTGAGATCGGAAACCCACGGGCTCCCAGCTTAATGCGTGGGGCCCAGAGCTCAGACCCAGCCCACTCGCGATGGAGCCGCCGCGCAAGGGACAGTCCCCCTCCCGGCCCCGCCGCCCCTCGCCAAGGACAGCCCCGGAGTCGGGCGAGGGCACCTCAGCCGACGCGGCGCGCAGCACAGCCCGCCCCGGCCCGCCCCGGCCCGCCCCGCTCACCGGTCACTCGACCACAGCACCAGCGGCACCTGCTGCTCCGACGCCACCGCCACCGCCGCCGCCGCCACCATCACCAACGGCAGCCATGGCATCTGCCAGAGCGCCAGGGACCGCCGCATCCCCACCCGCACTCGATCCACCGCCGTCGCCGCCATCAAAACCTCTCGGCCTCCACTCCCTGGACCCGCCGCGGCTGCCGCAGATCAGGTGACCGTCGCCCCCGCCCGAGCTCCGCCTCGAGCCGCCATTGGTCCGGGCGCAAGACCGCTTTCCAGACCCTCAGGTGATTGGACGAAGTGGATGCCACTCAAAGCCGCTCCTTTTCACTGGTTGGCTGTACGTGTCTCCAGGCGCGCACGCTCCAAGTAGGAAAGGGGGCGGAACCGAGCTCCGCCGGCTCCCACAGCCTCCTGCCCCTCTGCGGGCGCCGCGGGTTCCATCCCTGCTGAAGGAACGGGGCGGAGCGGGCTCCGCTGGTTCCCACACGCACAGCTTCCCCTTTCCCTGTTTTAATCTTCTTAATGCTTAAAGTAGCAAGAGTGGTTTCTTTTTCCTGCAGATGGACCCTCCTTTATACAAGTAAGGAGAGAAGAGGACGCCCAGGATAGCGTCCAGAGGAACGCCAGCACTTACTATGGGCAGGGAGGAGGATCCAGAAGAGAGATCGGAGAAGGAGCAGCATAGAGGAGGGGGAAACCCAGGGAAGTTTCAAGCACACCGTGGTTAACAACGGCATTCTCGACTGCTGCCAGGAAGCAGGTAGGATGAGGACAGAAAACTTTCTTGTACTTAGCAACACCAGTTTGGTGAGAGTGATGTCAGTGTGAGGAAGTGGAGACACGGTATAGATTGTCCTTTCTCGAAGTTTGCCTTAAAGAGAGGAAAGAGACAGAGTGACAGCTAGAGTCAGAAGATGAGAGACACCACCTCAAATAAATTGGGAGACTTTCATCTTTTTCTGTGCCATTAAAAATATATATATTTAGTTATTTAGTTGCGCCAGGCCTTAGTTGCAGCAGGCGTGCTCCTTAGCTGTGGCATGTGAACTCTCAGTTGCGGCATGCATGTGGAATCTAGTTCCCTGACCAGGGATCGAACCCCGGCCCCCTGCATTGGGAGCACGGAGTCTTACCCACTGCACCACCAGTGAAGTCCCTTTCTGTGCCATTTTTTATTTCTCATATTAGTGACCATTGAAATCTAGCGGGTGAGTATACGGGTGTTCACTGTAAGCTTTTTTTGACCTTGGTACATGTACTGGATTGAAGAGTATCCCCCTAAAAGTCATGTGCATCCAGAACTTGTAAATGTCACTTTATTTGGAAACAGGATCTTTGCAGATGTGATCAAAATAAGGTCATGCTGGATTAGGGTGGGCCCTAAATCCAGTGATTAGTGTCCTTATAAGAAGAGAGAAATTTAGACACAGACACACGGGGAAGAAGGCCAATTGATGATGGAGACAAAGTTCTGCAGCTGCCAACTGAGGAACTCCTGGAGCCACCAGAAGCTGGAAGAGGCAAGGAAAGATTCTTCCCTAGAGCTTTCAGAGGGAGCACAGCGCTGTTGACTTTGGACTTCTAGCTTCCAGAGCTGGGAGAGAATAAATTTCTGTTGGTTTAAGCCTACCAGTTTGTGGTAATCTGTTATGGCAGCCCTGGGAAACTAACACACTATATGTTGGATGTTTTTCATAATAAAACATATAGGGAAGGACTTCCCTGGTGGCACAGTGGTTAAGAATCCGCCTGCCAATGCAGGGGACGTGGGTTCGAGCCCTGGTCCGGGAAGATCCTACATGCTGCCGAACAACTAAGCCCGTGTGCCACAACTACTGAGCCTGCACTCTAGAGCCCACAAGCCACAACTACCGAGCCCACGTGCCACAGCTACTGAAGCCCACACACCTAGAGCCCGTGCTCCACAACAAGAGAAGCCACCGCAATGAGAAGCCCGCGCACCGCAATGAAGAGTAGCCCCCGCTCGCCACAACTAGAGAAAGCCCACGCGTAGCAACAAAGACCCAATGCAGCCAAAGATAAATAAATAAGTAAATTTATTTATTTTTAAAATATATATATATAGAGAGAGAGAGATGAAAGTTTGATCAGGCCCATTGCTGGCAAGGATGTTAGGAAATAGAGTCTCACCTACACAGTGGTGAGAGTATCGATTGGTAGAACTTTTTTGGAGGATAATTTGGCAGCATCTAACAAACTAAAACGTGTATGACCTTTAACCAAGCAGTTTCCCTCTTAGGGATCCATTCAACAGAAATACTCAGCCAAGCACAAGATGCACATACAAAGAGATCCATTGCAGTGCCATTTGTATTTGCAAAGATGTGGGCACTTGTGACTAGACACTGGGACACTGTGCCCCGCCACTGCTGCTGCCGCCCCTGCCCCTCAAACACCATCTCCTTGGCAGGATTCAATCTGCGTGCAGAACCCTCAACTCAGCACAGGAAAGCACACGAGAAGGGGGACTAGATGCTGGGAGCCACCGCACCGTGTACACAATGACTCCCACCCAGCCCCACGGAGCTGACAGACCATTGATCACCTGCACTTGTTTGAGAAACTGCTTATGAGATTGTAGTCATGGTTGTCACGCATGTGGCTCTGACTAAGACAGTGGCAGTTGAGCTGAAGACAGGAGGTGGGCTTGGCATGGTCAGGGAGGACAGTGGCTGAAGGTGGCTCTTGGATGTCTCTGAGTTGGGGCCTGGGAGATGAGATCAGTTGGGGACAGTTAAGTTTGGGTTGTTTGCGGGGCCCCCAACTGGCCATGTCCGGGCCAGCTGAGGGGAGAGGTTTGTGCTGGAGCTCGCTGTGCCCCCAAAACCCTGGGAGAGGTTGGAAGTCCTAGTGCCATGATCTGATTTGTATTTGAAAAGGCGGATCTGGCTGTGGGAGCAGAGCAGATGATAGGGATGGGAGTGCAAGCAGAAACCAGGCGGAGGCTGTTGCCATCATCTGGGAGAAAGATGATGGGGGCCTGGCCAGGGTAATGGAGGGGCAGAGGTCACTGCCTCAGTGTTGGTGCGGGACTGAGGTTCGACCAGGTGGCATGATGGTGGGGGGTGGGGCAAGGGCCCCAGGAGCATCTGAAGTGAGAGGTCAAAGCCAGGGCAGCCAGCGGGGGGTGGGGAAACCAGAGCCCCTCATGCTTAAGCCCTCCCCTGGCCTTGCTCTTGCTGTCACTCGCTGCCCTGGGGGTCAGTTGCATCCCCTTGGTCTGTCATTCCGTCACTCACCAAAGTCCTAGAAATCTTGCCCGGCCCAGCACCTGAGGGGGAAACAAAATGAGGACCCCCAATTGGGACATCACGGTAAAGTCAAAGTCCTCCAGGTCCAGGACAGACCCGGCAAGGGACACGTTTTGAGAGGAAAGTTCTATAATGATGCCACAGGAGTGAAAGCTGTCGAGGGAAGGGACAGAGGCCCCAGGGATCAGAACAGTGACACAGGGTGACAAGAGGAGCCTATGGGACTTCTGTGGTGGTCCAGTAGCTAAGGCTCTGTGCTCCCAATGCAGGGGGCCCAGGTTTGACCCCGGTCAGGGAACTCGATCCCACAGGCCACAACTAAAGATCCCGCATGCTGCAACAAAAGATCCCACATGCCGCAACTAAGACCCGATGCAGCCAAATAAATAAAAAAATATTAAAAAAAAAAAAAAAAACGAGGAGCCAATGGCCATGGGCAGACGTAGGAACACACAGGGCACCATTTAAATAAAGTTTCAAGGCAAAGACTTGCTCAAAAGTGTGACCTTGCTGGCCAGCAGTCTCTTGCTCACCATCCTTAAGGGAGAAAGTCCCGTGGCTACTTTTCTTCTTCCCTCAGTTCCCGGAGGTCCCCGGAGTGGTGACCCTTGAGGCTTCCTGAAGCAGTTGCTATGGGCCAGGCACTGAGTCACACTTGGACCCTGCCCCTCAAGTTCACAATCTGATCTGGAGGAGATGCAGAATAGTGGGTCACAACCCAGGGTAATGTATGTTCAAAAGGGGCAGACACAGGGCTGGGAGGGAGGCGCAAAGAGGGGCACCACCTGAGTCTGCTTTGACCACAAGGTGACATCTAAGCTGAGTCACTCACTAAATGCTGATAGCGCCCACAAGCACCTGCTGTCTGCTGCTTCATTTTTAGGGTAAAAGCATTTCTTCATTAAAACCCTTCTGGGCCCTCATCAACTCCATGTCTTCTTAAATTGTTTGAATATAATATTGGACACATTCCAAAATATGTGTAATATCTGTGTGCTACGTAGATTACGTATGTTACGTAGACACGCGTGGCCTGTGTCTTACACACATTACACATGATACGTTATTGTATGCGAAATATACAAGAAAAAGAGCCCTCATCACCCACCCCAGACTTCACAGAGTGCTGCCAGTCCCTGGGCAAGAATCTGTCTCCCCCAATCCCTTTTTCCTGCCCCACGCCCAGAAGTAATGGCTACCCTGAATTTGCTGTTTACCATTCTCTCTTTTTTTCCCTTACAGGTTGACCACTTCAGTATGTCCCCCTAAACAGTCTAGTGCTCAGTCTGCTCATACTTGAGCTTGACGAAATGGTATCGTCCTGCGCAGCGGACACGGGTAGCATCGTGCCATCCTTGCTAGTCTGGTGGTGAGCCTTCCGCGACCCTGGTTTCACTCTCCCCTTGGCAGGTGCCGGTGCTCCCTACCGTCCCTGTTTGCCGGGAGGCTTTTCATGACCTACAAACGCAAGATGTCTCGGGGCCGCGGCAGATGGCACCGTAGTTCAGAGTGATTCAGTCTCCCCCTTCCCTTAGGAGCACCCCTCCTTGCCCATTGTCAGGCAGGAGACACACTGGAAGAGACAGGTTCCAGGGCACCCCACCATAGCTGGGATCCGGGGATCAGGAGACCACCAGGGGCCCCGTGAGAGTGTTACAACACCCGCACAGCAAGTGACTAGGCACTGGAACGTTGCTGCTGAAACATTGAACTCTATGCTGTGCTGGGTGTGAGACAGGTGAAGGGACGGGAAGGGCACCACTGCCTCACCCCTGCATCCCACATCATCTCGAGTGTGTCCCCAGGCAAGGTGGAGTCCACACCCTGAGCCCGCTCACCCAGACCACCGCTCAGCCCTCCCAGGCTTGCCTTCCCCACACACTCCTTGCCCCCCACCCCTACGTTGGCCAAAAAAAGAAAAGTTGCAAAATCCAGGTGTACAGCGCAATGACTTAGCAAAGCAAACACTCCCTTGGCATCACCGAAGTTAAGAACTCAAATGTCTACCTCCCCAAACCCCCTCATCCCCCTCCCATCACTTCCTTCTCCCTTCCACCAAAGTGACCACAAACCTGATTGTTGTGGTAATCTCTTTGGTTTTTATAATTTTACCAATTGTGTCAGTCCGTCCAGGATGCTATGACAAAGTACCACAGACTGTGGCATTTATAAACAGCAGAAATTTATTGCTCACAGTTCCCGAGGCTGGAAGTCAGAAATTAGGGTACCATCAGGGTAGGGGAAGGCCCTTTTCCAGGTTTCAGACTTCTCATTGTATCCTCACTGGTGGAAGGGGTGAGGGAACTCTCTGGAGCTTCTTTTATAAGGGCACTAATCCCATCATGAGGACCTCACCCCCATGACCTTATGACCTAAGCACCTCCCACAGGCCCCACCTCCTAATACCATTAGGGGATTAGGTTTCAGTGAATTTGGGGGGGACACAAACCTCCAGGCCATCGCACGAGATAAGCAGGCATCCCTCAATATGATGATTTTGTTTTGTCTGTTTTTGGACTTTATATAAATGGAATAATTCAGTATTACATTTTGTGTCTAGATTCTGTGCTCAAAATTGGGAGGTTAGGGACTTCCCTGGCGGCCCAGTAGATAAGACTCTGCATTCCCAGTGCAGGGGGCCCAGGTTTGATCCCTGGTCGGGAAACTAGATCCCACAAGCCACAACTAAGAAGTCCACATGCCGCAACAAAGATCCTGCGTGCTGCAACTAAGACCTGGCGCAGCCAAAATAAATATTAAAAAAAAATTGGGAGGTTAATGTGAGTCATTGCATAACAGTAACATGACTGCTGTTCCCCTAGATAGATGTTCTGCCAGTCATTGAGCCCTTCTAGTGTTGAGAGACATTTGAGTGGTTTCCCACTTTAGCTAACACGGCTAGTGGTGCTGCCAATACTTGCGTATGTGGTGCACATATACGTGCATTTCAATGGGTATATATATCAGGTCATAGAGTGTATGTACTGGGTTGAATAGTGTACCCCCAAATTCATGTCCACCTGGAACCTCAGAATGTGACTTTATTTGGAAAAAGGATCTTTGTGAGTATAATTAGTTAAGATGAGGTCATAGTGGAGTAGCGAGCCCTAATCCAGCGAATGGTGTCCTTGTAAGAAGAGAAAAAGAGACACACAGACACAGAGAAGAGGCCATACAAAGCTGGAAGCAGAGATTGGAGTGAACTTGTGTCTTAAAGCCAAGGAACACCAAGGATTGCTGGCCACCACTGGAAGCTAGGAGAGGGGCAGATCCCTCCTCAGAGCCCCCAGACAGAGCCAACCCTGCCGTTACTTCTGACCTCCAGAATTATGAGAGAATAAATCTTTTGTTGTTTTAACCCTACCAGTTTAGGGTGCTTTGTTACTGCAGTTACAGCAAACTCATACAGTACATGTATTTTCAGCTCTGCCATTGTCTCCTCTTCTATGAAATGACTGCTCACATCAATCTTCCCGTTTTTCTATCCGATTGTTTATCCTCTTACCGATTTATAGGAGTTCTTTATTTATTCTGGGCGTGAGCCCTGCGTTAGTTACATGTATTACAAATCTTTGGGTTTTGAAGCAAGTCCATTAACCTCGCTCTGCGTCCTTTGCTGAATGAGATTAATCCCTACTTTTGCAAGGTTGTATGGGGATTACAGACAATGACGGAAGCCTTAGGCGACTGGTACAGACTGAGAGCCCATCTGGTCAAGTGTTCTTGATGTGCCCAGAGCTCTAAGGTCCAGCCTTCCTGTCCAGAAGGTCACCTCCCACCCGCCCCCCCTACAGAGAGGCCAGATGTAAAAGAGCACAACACAGATGCTTTATTGTTTATAAAACATGAAAACCCAGGCCCCAAGGGATTCAAGTGATGCCAGGGAGGCGGAAAGGACGGAGAAGTCGGTAGGCCCCAGCGTGAGGGCAAGGGGCCGCGTTTTGGGCCCTTGCTGCAGAGGCTCCACTTCTGGAAAAGGGCTGCTCTTCTGCCTGCAGCCCAGGGCTGGGCCCTGCCCGAGGGCCCCACGCCTGTGGGGAGCACGGGCAGAAGGAAGATGTGGCTGACGGCCATCCCTGAGGAAGTGGTGAGCAGCTCCTGGATCTGGGCAGGCAGGTAGAAGCCAGGCCTGGCCACCGCCCCGCTTCACCTACCCTCCCTCCAGTGCCCGGCCCTGGGAGAGAACACCTTGAAGGCAAGAAGGAAGGAGGCCCCTGCCTAAATGTCTTCCTCCCTGTGTGGCCAAGTGGGAGGAGCAGCTGAGACCCTTCTTTCAGCTGAAGAACCACAGAGGAGCTGGAACGCACACCAACTAGGAGAGGGCACCCGTGAAGGGTTCTGAACAAATCTGTCTAAAAAACCGTATCTGAGCTCAAAGCATCAGTCCATCCCCCAGCCCAGCTCTGTGCAGGGCCAAAACCCAAAGGCAGCACCGATTGCTGGGCAGCTGGGACTCAGGTCCCAGAGCTGCCTCTGTCCCAGGCCTCGCCGCCCCTCCCCGTCCCCGCCCCAGTCCAAGAGGAAAGCCGGGGCAGGGTCTGGGCGGGGTCTGGGCGGGGTGGCGCCTATCTCCCAGCCTGAAGGTGGTTGTGGAGCTGCTCGGCCTGGCTCTTCAGGCGCTGGAATTCCTCCTGGATGAAGTCCGTAAGGGCTTTGCGAATCTCCACCTGAGGGGAAGGACTGGGGCTGGCCTGCAGCCCTCAGGGAGCTTCGCCCAGGGTTCCTGGGAGGCCAAGGGCACTGGGATGGGCTAGGACAGCTCTGGGATGGCCTGGGGGAGAAACTCACAGCTGACTTGTTCTCTGCCCGGAGCTGCTCGAGCACAGGCAGGGCACTGAAGGGCTTCCCAATCAGCACAGTGATTTTCTGTGGGGAGAGTGGCCGCCAGTGGGTGACAGGAGCAGGGGGTGCCCACAGCCCCAGCACCCTGGGGAGCCAGAGGCCAAATCCTGTCCCCACCTTGCTGAGTACTCCCTCGGGTCCACTCTAACCTCTTTAAAACGAGGTGGTTGGGCTCAGTGACATCCAAGGGCCATCCCAGTCCTGGGGTCCATGCCCTAGTCATCCCATCCTGTCCTGTCCCAATCCCAAGGCCTGCCCCTGCCCCGGCCCCCGGCCTTGGTGCCAGGAAGTCCCCCCGCCCCGGCTTCACTCCATTCCCCCTGCTGCAGCATCCTGAATCTGGCCTCAGTGGTGCTGAGTGGGAGTCATGGGGCAGATGGCAGACAGACAGACAGACAGACAAGGTCAGCAGCCCTACCCACCTGTCCAAAGCGGGGGAAGTAGGGCGGGCTGTTAGGAAGGACGTCGTTCATTCCTGTAGCACAGCAGACAGAAGGCTGGGAAGCAGGTGTGGGGTGGAGCAGGGCAGCCCGGGCACCCACTCTCTGCCACCCAGAGGAGACCCACCCGCCAATATGACCGAGCGAAGCCCCTTTCCCTGGGCCGCAGCCTTGGCTCACCGACATGCCACAGTGGCAGAATGACAGGATTGAGATGACATTCGGCGATCAGGCGTCCGATTCCTACCCCAGGGAGAGGCAGAAATCGTGGCATGAGTGGAGCTTCGGTGCCAGCCTGCGACCGGGGCCACTCCTGCCCTCCCCCAGTCAAAAGCAGCTGCCCTGGGCCGGCACCTGCCCTTCCCGCCGCTCCCAACACGCTCCTCTGCCCCACCTGCCACAGTCCAACCCAGCCGGAGGCAGCCAGCGGCTCTTACCCCACTTGAAGCGCAGGAACTCGGAGCTCATGTTCACTTTCCCTGTTGAGAGGCAGGATGGAGGTGAGGCTGGGGGCTGCTGGGTGGTGGCGGGGGGGCAGTCCCACCCATATTCTTGAGAGGGTCACGACCCTGCCAGCCCCACTGACCTTCCGGGAAGATGTGCACCCAGTCCCCGTGGTTGAGCTTCTCCAAAATGAAATCCATTCCCTTCTGGTAGACGCCATCTCCTGCCAAGAGACAGTCCCTCCCTTCAGTCTCCATCCTCCAGGGCCCCCCTTCCACCCTCCTTGGGCGCGAAGCAGCAGCTCCCCATCCCCCAGAGGGCGGCCCACACGAACACCTTCCAAGGCTGGTCCCTCTCGGGCCTGCTCAGCTGCCTCCCTCATTGGGCTCTTGGTGCTTTAGGATGAGCCACCCCTGGGGTGAGCCTACCATTTGCTGCCTCTGGCCCAGTCTGTTCGTGATTTCCAGCCTCACTTGGGCCCCAGATTCTGGACAGCGACCCTTTCCCTGGGGTCTCTGCCAGGCCAGTTCCCGCAGCGACTCCTCACAGGCCCCCCAGCCCTTCCTGAGCCCTCAGCCTCTGCTGGCCCTGCCTCCTGCTGGCCCCTTCCTTGAAGGGCTCCCCCTGAATACTAGACTCACCCTCAGCCAGGCCTCTCGGGAACGGGAGAATGTTTGACGGAACACAGTATCACTGAGAGTTGGGGAAAACTCAAACCTGCTACATGGAAAACAGCAGGGTTGAGCCGCCCCCAATGCTAGCACAACTCGCCTTGGAGCTGCCCTGAGACCACGACACTGGACCCAGGTGGCCCGGCAGTCAGCAACAACACAGACATGAATGCCTAATGCCGCGTGCTGGCTCTTGACTTGGAGGCACATGGGGGCAATCTGTAGCCACACACAGTTAGGAGCCTCACTCGTCAACCTTGTCTGTAGAGTGGACAGACAGAGAAGGGGGGGAGGTTGAAGAAGCGGGTAAATAGAGACAGACAGACTGACACCAGGACTATTTGGGCCAATGCACTAAGAAACGGACTTTCAACCTGTTCTCTGCAAGGCGGAGTCTTTGGAAGGTGCTAGATAGGGATCCAGGAGTCTCAACCCAACCCAAATGGGAACCCGGCCCGGCAGCTCCCTTAGGGGCTGGAGCTGGGGAGCAGTCACCCACTGCAGTTTCTCAAGGCGTCACGGCTGAGAGCAGCAGTCTCCCTACCTGGGCTCGCATTAGCCGGTAGGGATGGGCTGCAGGGGCGCAGGCTCCTGCTCTACAAAAACCCACTGGTGCAACCGAGCCATCCAGCTTGGAATCAAAATTTGCAAATACCGTGCTTTGGGAGCAACACTTCACAATGTTTAGCTTTTGCAAATGCTGCTTCTGCTCACTTGTAGAGCTTGTACAGGACCTCACTCTGACACTCCACATCCTATCACAAGGCCTATGCTTGCGGGGAAAGGGGAATTTCCTGGGACACAGAAGCAGCACGTGCCAGATACTGCCTTTGCTTCAATTTGTGTTGTTAGATCTTTGCTGCACGTCAAATGCATTTGAGAAGCAACTTGTCCCTGCCCACTTTCTCTCACCAGAAGGTGCTTAGGATTAAGATTTCACTTGCTGCTTTTATTGTGCAGTAAAACTTAGATGCGGGTCAAAAAGAATGAGACTAGAAGTGGACATGGAAGGCCTCTGAGGTTGCAGAAAGAAGGAACTGAGACTCAGGGATGGGGTACATGAGCAGAGTCGCCATCTCTCAGAGCAGTACATGATAAACAATGCCACGGTCGCTTGCCATGGCATTGTAGCCTCTGCTTGTGTTTTAGTGAAAGGAAGCCGCCTCCAAAAGCAGCAAAGACAGAAAGTGTTCCAGGTTGGCTATCTCTGGGGAGTAACTAGGTCTGTGGATCTGGAGGTGGGCGTTGCAGCTTTTCATTAAAGAACCTTGTTTATTATTTGAGGTTACTTTATTGGATTTTACCATGTTTTACTTCCATCTACTAGAAATAAGATTTCCCTGACCTCCAACGCCCTTTGGTTACTTCCTCTTCACAACCCAACCTCTGGGAGGAGTGGCCACCCCACCCCTGCCGTCTACCCCACGCCCTGCCCTGAAGCTCCTGTGGCTGTCAGTCCAGAGAAGTGGCTTCTCCAGGGTCACTGGAGGCTTCCACAGTACCGAGGGGCCCTGCTTTGCTACTTTCCTCTCTGGCCACTGCTCTCTGCTTTTTTGGTGGCTCGTGTCTCCTTCTGTGCTGAGGTGCTGTCCAGGGCCCCTGCTCTCTCCCTGCTCTCCCTGTCTACGATCTCACTTCTATGTTTGTGATTTTGTGGTTGAGTTCCTGGTATGTTTATTCCCAAGCGTTCTTTTGAGCTCCAGAGCTGTGCATCTCACTGTCTCTGGACCGTTCCCTCCTCAGGTGACAGGCTCCTCTCAACCACCATGCTGCCTTCCCCTAGTCCCATCCTCCCAGTGGCTCATCATTACCAGACATCACCTAGTGTCATCTTTGCATTTTCTTTTCCTCGCCCCCTCCTACACCCAACCTATCAAGTCCTGTCCACTCCGCCTCCAGAGCGTATCCCAAAGCTGTCTTGTCTCTGCTCTCCGTGGTGACCCCCAGAGGCCCAGCTACAATCCTCGACCCCGCTTCTGCCCTCCAGGCACACTGCAGCCGGGGGCTCTCTCTCTAACCACACTCGAAAGCCCTGTCACTACCCTGATGAGAAAGCAGAGCCCAAATTCTTCACATGATTGTTCCAGAACCTTCACTTTCAGCCTGCAATGCACATTTTCTACCCTTATCACGTACCTCTCCAGCGTATGCTACATGCTTCCCATGTCTAGGATGCCTTTCCTTTCATACTCTCCCTGGAAAAATCCTGCTTCCCCAGAGGAAAAAGAAACCTGGATTTGAATCCTGGCTTTGCCACCTCTTGCCCTGTGACCTTGGGCAGCACCTTTATCCCTCTGAGCCCCCTTATCTGGAGAAGGGGGATGAAAATGGGCCCTACCTCCAGAAGCTCTCGAGAGGTGCTGAGTAATCACTCAACATCACACCCTTCACCCTACGGCACAGGCCACCACCATCACACACTGATGACACCACACTGCCGTCAGTGAGTCTCTCTCGGCAACGTCCTCAAGAGAAGGAACCGTGGATAACGCCTCGTCCACTTCTAACACCGGAGCCGGAGGCACACAATCCTCAGGCAGTCGCAGGGAATGGAGTGCGCTCCAAGCAGCCACTGCCACCCCTCCTGCCGCAGGATGAAGCTGGGCCTCACGCGAGTGAGGCAGTGGCCCCCAGCTCCCTGTCCCACCAGGGTCCCTCTACTCCCAGCACTGCCAAGCCAAAGGCATGCGCCACCAATCTCCCGGCCCCAAGGGAGGCCAGAGAAGCCCCCAGAAGCACCTCACCTCGGCACACGGGCACGCACTTGCCCAAGCTGAAGAAGTGGGAATGCAGCTCCTTGGTGAAGCAGATGTCTGCGGCCGCGGGGGTCCTGGAGCGGGGACAGACGCGGTCACCGCGGCCTCCCCTGCACCCTGCTTCTCTGCCCTGCCCCCAGCGTGAGGCCTAACATCGTGGGCAGTGCAGAATGGAGGCACAGGAGGGCCTGCGGGGCCCCACCCCGTGCCCTGCCTGGACTGCTGGAGGCTCCTCCTGGGCACAGTAGGGGGAGGGCAGACCTGGGCAGGGACGGGTGAAGCCTGCCGGCCCACCACGAGGGGCCCACTGCTCCTCACCAACGCATCAACTTCAGGTTCCAGATGTGGCGGAGTTTCAGGATCCCTGGAGGAGAGGAAAGACTTCATGCCCCAACTTACCTTGTACCTAGGGGGCGCCGATTCCTGTCATCCTGTTTCGGGGAATGAGGGACATGGACAGCAGTACTACCATTTCCCTATGGCCCAAAGTGGCATCTTCCCGACCCTTGGGCTGGACCCCCAAGTTCTCCCTGGCCCCTCCCTCTCTCCCACCCCGTATGTCTTATTAGTCACCACAGCTGGTCTGCCTGCCTCCCCGATACATTCTGACGCTGCCTATCCTTCTATTGTCACTGCCACCACCCTGGTCCAGGTTACTGGATGGCTCTAGAGCCTCCTTCCTGGTCTCCTGGAATCTGCCTGTGGCACCCTGCAGGCCATGCTCTGCCTGGCGGCAAGGGTGAGCTATGAAAGGCTCTGATTTGACCAAATGGCTTCTCACGAGCTCGACCTCCTAGTCTACAACCTCCTGAGTTCAGCAGTGGGAGCCCTGGGCACCCCTGTACCCAGCCATCTGGGTTACTGGATCCAAGCCACTCCCTGTGAAGTCAGCAGAGCAGGAACTTCTAGGTGGGGAAGCGGGCTCCCAAACGAGGCTGGTGGAAGGCTACAAACCCAGCCTGGGGCAAACCTGGAAACAGGACACAGGTCTTCCAGCCCCTAGCCCAGAGTTTCCTTGACAGGACACTCTGTGGTCCTCAGATTTGTTCCCAAGGCTCTTTGGAACCGTCAACAGTTTAGAGAATGGAGGGTCTGACACATTGGGCCTGATACATCAGAGTAAAGAAGCTGTCAGACCTTGCTCTACGTCCATTCCCTCCAAATATCTGAGGCGCTCATCCCTAGGAGGATGCTGAAGGGGCCACAAATCAAACTTTCATCTCTGGGGCAGGACATCCCAGAAACGGGAGTGCTAGAGCTATGCAAAGCAGCCTGTGAGGAGTGAGTTTGCTCTGCTTGTGTTTGGCCCTGTCCCAGGTTCCCTCCTTGCTTCCCCAAACCCAGCACACTGGCCCGTGTACCCCAGAGGTGAGGGTCATCCATGCAGGACTGGTGATTGGACACCGTGATGAGGGGTGTGGCTGGGCCTCGGTTCTCGATGAGCTCGTACAGAACCTCCTTGTTGTGGACGGTGAGGTGGTTCATGTACTCTGGCGGGAGAGCGGGAGGGTCGGGATCTTGGCTTCCTTTCCAGGGAGCCCCCCCGGCCAAGCCAGCCCCTGCCAGCGCCCCCAACCCCGAACCCCAACTCTGGTTGCGCGTGGAGACCCGTGGCCAACCCTGCCTCGGCTTTGGGTCCACTCACTGGTCCAGAAGCAGCTGTAGGTGCCCACCAAGCCCATGACGACGCTACTGGCCAGGGTCCAGGTGAGCGGCGGCACCGCGGGGAACGGCCATTTCACATGTAGGGGCATCTCCCCGCCCCGACCGAGCTCCCCCCACCGCCCCCGGCGGCCCGGCGCTCCCCCTGCCCTGGGGCAGGCTGTGGGGCTACTCTAGGTCTGTGTCCTCAACCGCTCGGGGGATGGGTCCCTAACAGGCCCGCGCCACAGACGGGCGCCGCGGCTCGGCGCGACAGGGGACTCGACCAAGGTCACCTAGTGGGTCAGGCCAGAACCGGGCCCGTCCCCGATCTCTCGCCACACACTAGCCGCCCTGGAGCCAGGAGACGGGGTGCACACTGAGGACCTAGCGTGGACGGGAGCAGCAGCGAGGCCCCCGCACCCGCCGGAAAGCGAGCCTGCGACGGCGCCGGGCTCTACCGCCGTCTGTCGCAAAACGCGCTCGGGTCGCTTGACGGCAGCGGGGGCGGGCCCGCGGGCCGCGTGGCCCCGCCCCGCTCCAGAGCAGCCCGGATTTGAGGCCGCCCGCCAGCTGCAGGTCAGTTTCGCCTCGTTAGTTCCGACCCGGTGAAGTCTCTGTGAGTAACATGGGCTGCGCAGCACGATTACCTGACACCACACAAAATCGGGGCTGGCTTCCCTGGTGGTGCAGTGGTTAAGAGTCTGCTTGCCAATGCAGGGGACACGGATTTGAGCCCTGGTCAGGGAAGACCCCACGTGCCGCGGAGCAGCTAAGCCCACGTGCTACAACTGTTGAAGCCCGCGGGCCTAGAGCCCATGCTCCGCAACAAGAGAAGCCACTGCAATGAGAAAACCATGCACTGCGCACAGCAATGAAGACCCAATGCAGCCAAAAATAAATAAATAAAATAAATTTATTTAAAAAAAAAAGATCGGGGCTGGCGGAGCACTTTTACTTTAGTTTTTTCCCCCCTTTGTTTTCAATAATTTCATATAACACGGAATTAACCATTTTATAGTATTTTATAGCATTTTATATTACATTATTTTATGTATGTAACATATGTAATGTTAAATGTTATGTATTGTTTATGTTACATTATGTAACTTTACATAATTAGCTACATACAACTTATTTAATTTTTTTTTTTTTTTTTTTTTTTTGCAGTACGCGGGCCTCTCACTGTTGTGGCCTCTCCCGTTGCGGAGCACAGGCTCCGGACGCGCAGGCTCAGCGGCCATGGCTTACAGGCCTAGCCGCTCCGCAGCACGTGGGATCTTCCCAGACCAGGGCACGAACCCGTGTCCCCTGCATTGGCAGGCGATTCTTAACCACTGTGCCACCAGGGAAGCCGTACAACTTTATATAATCACAATATTACAGAATTGTACTATACGAATGTATGTATGTAATATAATGTAACGTGATGCAATATGTAATATATAGAAGCATATAACATACAATAGAAAATACTATATATATTATTTTATATCGTTTAGTACACCCGCAGTGTTGTCAACCACCACCTCTAACTAGCTCCAAACATGTTCATCACCCCAAAAAGAAAGCCCTGTAGGCGTTAAGCAGTCTATTTTTTATTTTTAAAGCAAAGTATAATTTTATTGATTAAAAAATATTTTTCCCGGGAATTCCCTGGCGGTCCAGTGGTTAGGACTCGGCGCTCTCACTGCCGAGGGCCTGGGTTCAATCCCTGCTCCGGAATGAAGATCCAGCAAGATGCGGAAAAAAAAAAAATTCCCAATCTTCGGCTCATCACCACCCCCAATCCATTAGCACGTAGGTCCTGCCACCGGGGACATTGCCCCGAAGACCGCACTACAACCATTCAGTAAGGACCCATCACCCGCCCGCAGACACCGCCTGAGTCCCCCATTTGTCCCAGCAGCGACAGTGCAGGATCCCCATGGGGCACTGAGCTGCCAGTGCTCTAATCTCTCAGGTAGTTTTTTAGTCCGCCCTCGGCTTCCACCACCATGGCCAGTTCCTGTGCCGACTGTCACTCGCTTTGGGTATTCAGAGCGCTCAGAAGTGCGCAGCCACACCGGGCCCGGCCCGAGGACTTGGAGAGAAGGCCCTTGTCCTCGGGGGTGCCCAGGCTCGCCGCGGGGCTTCCCTTTTTCGGGCACGCGCTCCAGCTCTGGAGTCTTCCCCACTGTATCCTTCCTGCAGGCGGCCGGGGACAGGGGCTGAGCGCCGGGCCTGGGAGAGCGCAGAACAGAGCCTGCGCTCGGGCGGCCGCAGCTCCTCACCGCGCGCCCTGGGCACAGGAAAAACTCTGACTCACAGCTCGGTCATCTACTCAAACCCTCCCTGGCCTTTGCCTCCGCTAGCGCCCTGTCCCACCCGGGTGGGGAAGGCGGGGTCTGGTGGGAAAGTGGGCGGCCAGGTCCGCGCCAGGACAGCTGCCCAACCTCCCTGTGGCCTCCGGGGCGGAGCCAGGGCCGGGCCCGCCCACCGGGAAGGGTGGGGCTGCCGAGCCAGCCCTGACGGGTGGGGAGAGTTGAAAGTCTGTTCCTCTTTTTTCGTCTACGGTCCCTGCCCAGGCAGACGCTGTGATTCCGTGGGGAGTCGCGATCCGCTCACAGCACAGGAAGGTGGTGTGGAGACGACCCGTTCTGCACAGGTATGGGAGCCCTCTGGCCAGAGGGAAGGAGGAAGTTGCCCCCAGCCTGTGAGGGAAGGTGAGAGGGGAAGGGAATTCCAGGGCTGGGGCTAAGGGCTGGTGTTGGGAGCCCAGACCGACTTTGGGCTGAGGCCAGGAACTCTCTAGTTCTTTTCCTCCGCCCACCTGGGAGCCCCTGGCCCCAGAGTCTCCAAGCCTGCCCTTGCCAGCCCAGGGCTGCCTAAAGGCCTACATACATCCCAGAATAGATACCAGGGCAGGGGACCCAAACTAGCATGAATGACAGAGCAGGTGGCTAGGGAGAAACAGGCATGGAGCCCAGGCAGGCAGAAAGTGAAACCAAGGGGGAAGGTGACAAGGCAACAGAGAAAAGCAGGCAGACAGAAGTAGAGGGACTTACGTCGCTGTATGAGGGCAACACCAACAGGGAGTTGAGCAAGGGCCTGAGCCCAAAAGACAGGGCAAAGCCTGGGGGCTTGAGAGAAAGATAAACTGAGAAAGACACTCAGGAAGAGGGGTGCTCCAGCTGGTAAGATGAACAAGTAGGGCTCACCAGTAGTGGAGGGCATGGGGAGAGGGGCTCCATCACACACTGCAGTGTGGTGAGCTGGTGTATCCGAGATCATTCTAAATGCATATGCCCTTGAATCCAGCAATTATACTTCTGGGAGTTTGTCTTAAGCATAATGTCTGCCAAGTGAGGAGACAGAGATGCACGAAGATGGTCCTTCTAGTTGCTAATGGCAGTGAAAAGTTGGAATCAACTCTAAGGTTGAACCCTTGTGAACTGCTGGTGGGAATGTAAGATGGGGCAGCCACTGTGGAAAATAGTATGGCGGTTCCTCAAAAAAGTTAAATATAGGGTTACCATATGTTCCAGCAATTTCACTTCTAGGTATCTAACCAAAAGGATTGAAAGCAGGAACTTGAAGAGATATTTGTACACTCATGTTCACAGTAGCAGTATTAACAGTAGCCAAAAAGTGGAAGCAACCCAGTGTCCATGGATAGGTGAATAGATGAACAAAACGTGGTCCATCCATACAGTGGAATGTTATTCAGAATTTAAAAGGAAGGACATTCTGACATGGATGAAATGAGCACATTATGATCAGTGAAATCAAATGGTCACGAACAGACAGATACTGTATGACTCCACTTGTATGAGCTGCTTAGAGTCAGTCAGATTCCTAGAGAAAATAGGATGGGGGGGCACGGGCTGGGGGAGGGGGTGTGGGGGTTAGTGTCAGATGGGGACAGAGTTTCAGTTTGGGAAGATGGAAAAGTTCTGGGGATGGATGGTGGGGATGGTTACACAACAATGTGAAGGTGCTTCATGCCACTGAACTTAAAAATGGCTAAGATGGTGAACGTGATGCTATGTGTATTTGACCGCAATTAAAAAGAACGAGATTGAACCATACGTGCTGATGTCAGAAGGTGTCCACAAGGAAGAAAGGAAATGTGTGATGCTGGCAGCTCTGGGAGGCTGGTGCTGGGCAGCAGCAGGATGGCACCACTTTCTCTGTCGCATATTACCATGTCCTTCTGGAACTAGAATTGAGCCCAACTGGGACCTGAACCTGGAGCAACCTGGATTCCTCTGGAGGGTTCCAGAAGCCCATACACGGCCATGCACTGCTTCTGCTCCTCCTCCTGGCTGGTGGGGCTGACACCTTTCACATCTGTGCTTTTAACACCCAGCGGCTGACACTCAGCAAGGTGGCCAGGGAGCCTGTGCTGGATACCTTAGTTCAGGTAGGTTCATCACTGCAGAGAAGCTGTGCCCCTAAGGACCATGGCCCAAAGCTCCCTAGCCCTACCTGACCAGGGGCATGTGCCAGAGAAGAGGGGACATCAGGAGACATGGTGTGGAGACATGGAGCACCTTCCTTCCCTGTCGCTGGTCTCAGTCTCCTCCTCCATGAAGTGGGTGTGGTGTTGGTGGAGATGGCGTTCAGTCTTCTCCTGGGTCCCTTCTAGCCTCGCTGCTCTGTTTGGCCTGCAGCCAGCGTGTCATGCCACTCTTGGCCGCGCTGGTGCCGGGCCCCCAGGGATACCACCCCTCTCCCAGGGTGGCTGGCACTGAGTGGGGCTGGCCTTCCTGGTGTCCTGCAGATCCTGGCTCGCTGTGACATCACAGTGCTGCAGGAGGTGGTGGACTCTACTGGCAGTGCCATCCCACTCCTGCTTCGAGAACTCAATCGGTGAGGAGGGCTCTGTGGTCTAAACTGGGGGCCCCACAGAGCCTCAGGGCCGCTGACCTGAGGTTCCCCTTTCCTGGCAGATTTGATGACTCTGGGCCCTACAGCTTCCTGAGCAGCCACCTGCTGGGGCGTGGCACGTACAAGGAAAAATATGTGTATATCTACCGGTGAGTGCAGATGGTGACCAGGGCGGTCTGGACACTTGGCTTGGTGTGCGGTGGCGCAGTAGCCCCAAGGGTGGCCCTCACCTCCGCATCACACTTTTTCTCCTCAGTGGTACCCTGGGGTCTTCTTGTCCTCTACCCCAGACAGCTTTAGTGCCCATGTGTCCCTCCAGCAGGTGGCCTTCCTTCTGCAAGTACAGAAGTGGGGCCCCCCGCCTCTCTCCTGTGGAAGCCACAGGGGCTCGGGGTGAGGCTGGCTCCCTCTTTGGGAGTGACTGGTTGCAGCTTCTGGGAAGAGGCTCACCAGGGGCCTGTCGTGGGTCCTGGGCAGACCCAGTTTCCAGAAACAGCCCTAAGTCCCTGGGAGGATAGCCTGGGGGGGCGGTCAGGATTGAGAGGGCAAGGGTGGCAGTCAGGGAAGGATACCTGTTCCTATATGTAGATGAAATTACATAATGTCTGGAATTCACTGCAAAATGATGGGGGAACAGAGACACGCCCATACAGCAGCACCGCTCATAACAATCTCAAAGTGGAAATGATCCGAGTGTCCGTCAGCTGATGAACAGATAAACAAAAGGCAGTCTCTCCACGTAGTGGAATATCATTCAGCCTAAGAAGGAAGGAAGTCTGAGCCAGACTGCAGCCTGGATGAACCTGAAACATGTGCTAAGGGAAAGAACCAGACACAGAAGACTATGTATTATTGGATTCCATTCACATGAAATGTCCAGCAGAGGCGATGTACAGAGACAGAAGACAGATCAGGGGCTGCCAGGGGCTGGCAGGGAGGGGAATGGGAACTGCTCATGGGCGAGGTTTCTTTGGGGTGATAAGAATGTTCTAAAATTGATTGTGGTGATGGTTGCACAACCTTGTGAATGTACTGAACGCCACTGAATTGTGCATTTTAAACAGGTGAGTTTTACGATGTGCAAATTATATCTCAATCTAAAAGAAGTTCTAGAAAGGCTAGGCAGGCTGTGCTTACATGAAATGGAGCTGCTGGTGGAGGGCCCCCTCCCTGAGTGCCAGGTCTGATGTGGGCACTTGCAAACTGAAACCAGTGGTCCACTAGGTCACACAAGACGCAGGTCCTGGATTCCTACGTGTACGACGATCAGAATGACCTCTTTGCCCGGGAGCCCTTTGTGTGCCAGTTCTCTTTGCCCAGCAAGGGTAGGTAGGGATGAAGGGTGGCCCCCTATGAGGGAGCAGGAAT